GTTACTACTTACTTCTATTTTTCTTTTTTTTCTTTTTTTTTTTTAAGTTGCTAAATGAGCCAAAATATTATGCTATTAAAAAACTTAGTTGTAATTTTATTTATTTATTTATTAATTTTTTTTTCTTTGTAATAAGGCAAATCACTTTTCTTTTAGAGATCGCACGGAACAATCTACTGGAACAACAAATGCAACATGCGGTCTTGCAAATGGTTCCATAAATAATCATACATCTGCTTCGACGGCATTATTGAATTCGAATACGGAATCATCAACACCCCCGTGGCATCGTGGATTAACTTCACAACCTACAGCATCATCCACCGCTAATGCTCCGCCTGCGGTAGGAACGAGCAGGTTCTTATAGTGTAACTATCACTTCAAAGTGATTCTGTATAATCAATCGGCGAAATTTTCGCAATATTAATAATATTATTCATTATTTTAATCATTGATCGTTGATCATTGATCATTGATTGCCATTTTCAAATGATTCCATTAGAATTCACGCTTATATACAATTATATTTTTGATAAATTTATCCAATTTTTGGTTATAATTTTGATGATATATATTAAATCGATTTTTTACAGTATGATGCATACGGCATATCAACCAAACATCGATGAACCAACAACATACCAACGTCGTAATTATCAAGAGCAATTTGATGTTTAATTTCAGGAAATTCTCATTTTTTTATTCCAAATATATTTATTTATTGATGCTTTTAATTTCAAATTATATACTGTGGATAAAGTTCATTTAATTATCTTTTGTATCATTACCGTGTATTTGTTTCATACTCTTCAATAACTTTGAAAAACAAAAAAAAATTAAAAAAAAGGGAAAAATAACGAAAGAAATCAAATAGTGAATTCAAATATACAATTGAATTTATTCAATGAAATATATCTAAATTTTGTAATTTTTACTTTTTTTTTCGAATTGTTCATAGCTTTTTTTAAGAAAAGAATGCTTATATTCTGGACAGTTTTTTTTTCTTTTTTCAAGATAAATTAATTAAAAATTTCAATTTATTTGCTTGCAAATTGAAGGCTATTTAAAATTACATTTCTTTTTTTTTCGATTTTTCCTACCCATTTCATTCCGTTATTTTCTTGCAATTTTTGAAATATTTGTTAATGTTTGTAAAAATTGAATTACTCGCAAGTTATTCGTAATCTAAGTGATTATTTAATTTCCTACAACTATTGTTTGAACGGAATTTCAAAGGAATTAAAATTTCCAACAATTTCCGTTAAAATATTATTGGTAAGATTTACATTATCAGCCGTGTAATTAATATGTATTTAATTTTCCTCTTTCTTTT